TACAAGTGATCGATCACTTCAGTCATTTACACAACTTCAAAAGGTCTTAGGTCAACAGCTCAATAGAAAGTCGATATAAGGTCAAGTTTCAAAAAGTCGAATAGTTTGACAATGTTATTTGGTCACTGCAAATAATCTTATGTCAAGCTGTGATCAGAGATGCTGCCAAATATAAGTTGAAAGATTACTAATCATAATATAATATATGTACTTACAAAATATAGAGGTAAGTTATTTCACACATTATTTCTTCTTTAAATTTGAACTTGATATTTTATTACTGTGGTTATTCGTATGTAAAATTTTTTTGAGGTTTTCTGTAGATTTGCAACGTAAACTTTGCTAGAAAAGTCAACTTAATTAGTGATATTTGTTTACAGCTATTTAATTTTAATAATACAATGTTACTTGCTTTATACGATCAATGCTTATAGCAAGATATAATCAATTCAGATTATTTTTATGCTCCCATATTTGACGAACTTTTTGCAACTGGTAGTTCTGCCTATGATGTTGACATACGACCAATTGCATTTATTTCATTGTTACAGATTACGTTAAAGTTTGTTAACTTTGAAATAAAAATGAGTGGAATAGGAAGCTGTGGTCGACTGCTTGTAGATTTGGTTACTACCAATAATTTGTGCAGGAATAGTTCTTTTATCATTGAGGATGAACCCTTTCAAAAAGACTGAAAACATTGGTTCAGAAGTAGTTGTGGATTTTGCTACAGATATCATTGATTCTGAACAGTCAGAACAAATGATAATGAGCTTAGGTGCAGCAGAGAAAAACAAAAATTGTTTTCCAGGTGAGGCCAAATCTAGTAATACTCTGGACGTTTTGAATTTTGATAAAGCTTTGGATAAAGAACTCAGTGATGTTGAATGTTTGATGAAAGACTTAAGTACTCATTCTGAAGACTCTTACTAACCACCTGGATTGGTAAACCCTAGGTCAAATTCGTCAGAGCATTCAGAAACTCTTGGGGAAGAATCAAGTGATAGTGTTGGAGTTAGAACAAAAAGAAAAGGACAAAGACATGTCGAAAATTGGAAGAGGCAACAAAACGCTAAACTGCGTTTGTTAGGAGAGTCCTATGTAGGTTTCCAAAGGGATAAAAAGACAAAAATCATCACCAAACTTCAGAAAAATCAGAAAAAATGGGGCCACGTTATCAAGGACATATTACTCGATGCAATAAGGGAGGCCCTAGACACGGTTTGAAGTGTAATTAAATAAGCGATGACTAACGCAGTTCCATACTTTTGACATTTTGGGCAAAAACCAGTTGGGAATTCAAAAAGATATTTGTGCAGGAGAATGTGTTGCCAACAACGTAAAAATATCGAAAAATGGCTGCTAACGTGCCAAAGAAAAAACATAGTTTTCAGTTTTACTTGACAACAAATGAAGAAGGAATTAATAACAAGCTAAAAAACAAGTTTATAAACAGATATTTTTAAGTACATTAAATATTGGTGAAAAGCAACTGAGATCATGGACCTTGGTCAGGTCAAAGCTCATTGGAGTTGTCGGACAGTTCATTAAAAAGCATAGCAAAAGAAACCGAAAGACCAGGGGAAGGCTTAGAGGCCTGGCTCAACTTGTTGCCTAAGGTTGAATAACACTATTGCCATTCTTTATCGAGCAAATTGTATCTAGAGCCTGTCTGGAGCAGCTTTAGAGAAATGCATAGGATGCAACGAAAAGTGTACCGCTGAGAATAAAAATGTTGTATTATTGGCTACTTTTTAAAAATTTATAAGAAGTTAAATTAAGATATCTACACACCAAAAAAAGACCAATGTAATGAGTGTATTATGCACGAACACGGGACCATTGATCACGAATCTTTTGAAAAACATATAAAAATGAATGATGCCAATTTAGAAAAACAATCTGACAAATGCATTGCTTTGAAAAACAGAGACATCAAATGCTACAAAGTGGACTTTTAGGCTGTTCTTGCGCCTCGTCTAAATGCATCTGCAAACTATTTAACAAAATTAATGGTACATAACCAAGTTTATTTTAATCAAGCAACGAAGCAGGTATTTTGTTATGTATGGCATGAGGCAGCAGGAGGACTTGAAAGTGACGTGTTTGCTACAAATGCTATTACCTTTATAGAGAATGAAATTATCCAGAGCACTACAACAAAAATTATTATTTGGAGTAATGGGTGTGGATACCAACATAGAAATGCAAAACTGTGAAATGCCCTACTCGACTTGAGTATTAAAAAAAATACGGGTGTGGCAGTCCAGTGGGACTGCCAGTAGTAGTTATACTTCTATACACGCGTTCGCCGTTACAAATTTATATGGCAGTCAATCTGCACAATCAATACATATTAAATGCTATAGGTAAGAGAGAGCAGAAAGAGAAAAAGAATTACATATATAGATATATTGTGCATCGTTTGCTGTATATAAACATTTGACCTGTAATAGGAGTATGGTAAATGAAGGATTGTATCAATATTTTAATGAAAATATATATTTTTATTTTCATATATGTATAAAAGGAGGTGAATGCAAAAAAATTTTTTACACATACTTTACAGTAAAACCCATTGTTTATTTTCTTATTAATATAAAAATTACAATACAATACACTTCAACATAATTCAATATAATAATACAAATCAAATTAAAATGCAATATTCATAAGTATTTAAAACTGCCAATATACATAACTTACTTTACAAAGATGAAAATAAAAAACTAACAACTCGGATTATGTTGTAAATTTTCATTTTATTTTAAAATTTAGCATTTTTGCGTATATTACATATATTTAATAAGATTAACGTGAGGTTTTTAAATATTTCAAAAATAAAAAAGGAAATTCATATTGGGATTCGAACTCATATACACCAACATATAAACCAAACACTTAAAAGAGTTGCCAATTAGACATGACACTAACAGATTTCAAAATTGACAGTTCTCGGTGATATAGTGATTATTATGAAATACAAAAGCCTAAAATAATTATGAACATTTAATAAATAATACAAAACATATCACATAAATAATAATATTAATATATATATTATATATATATATATATATATATATATATATATATAATATTAATATATATGCAAAAGGAACATTTTTATTTTCGAGAGAGAAAGAGGAAGAAAATATATCTTGTTGGGGATACAAGATATGTAATGGTTCTTATGTTATAGTTAATGGATTTTGGGAACAGCTATGACCTTGAAAATGTCACAAAGAATATAACTAAATCTTTTTTCTTACTCAGACTCTTTAAAGTCTTTTACAATATTTTAGAATCGAAGATATGTAATTATATTATTAATGTATTGGATTTTGACAAGAGCTATGCATTATGCCTATTTAGTACACAAGTTTATGTGAAATGTTCAATGTCATAGCTGTTCCCAAAATCCATTACCTCTACATATGTAATGGTTTCACAGATTCACTCTCGTACAAATTTCCAACGTCCAGCGCACATATAGAAGTATAACTTCTATGATAACAAAAATGTTATCATAGAACAAAAGTATTTGGAAGTGGGATACATACACATGGAGGTGGACTCTATTCACTCAACAATAGAAACACTTAAAAACTGTGTCCAAGTTTTTGTCCCTGCTAATTACATACCTATCATTAATAGTATATGAATCCATAATCCATACCAGACATACTATTTAAACTATGACGATTTTTTCAAATTTGACACCAGTTACTATAGTAGTATTAGACCTGGAATAAAAGTGGGAGATCCCTATGTAAACAATGTTGTTTCTTATCAATATACACTTGAAGGTGTTATAAATTATTAGCTGAACATGGGCGAACAGTGGGTACCACTTCCAAAACAACCTAAATGTTCAGTGGTGACAGAGCGCTTAAAATTATAGCAATGGCCTTGTCTAATTGAAAAGTCTAAGTACCTTTACTTGCAGGAGTTAAAAGAGCTAATCCCTCAGGATTACTGAGATTTCTACAGTAAACTAACACACAAGTAGAACATAAAAAATTCGTATTAATTTTTGTAATTCATATGTATTTATATTTAATTATTTATAAATTTATAATTAAATATAAGTTACTATTAATTTATAATTTTATATTAGGAACTATTTTTTTAAGTTTTATATTTATTTCTTACTCAGCTCTTTGTATCTTATCCAAACAAACAATTTTCTTTTTTAAGTAATGATAAGCATCCCTACAACTTCTACTCTTGTAGGTACTATGTATATGTAAATACTATAAGTTTTATTAAAAATGTTTTTTTTTCTCCCAAATCAATTATTTTATTTAAAAAGATGATCATAAAATTCTGGAGTATGTCAAAATAGTGGGCTAGTGGCCAACATTGAAGTGCAAATAGTTGTATATTAACTTAGATTACGCATTTTACCAAATTTAGTCAAAACCACTATAACACTCCTAGTTGAAAGTCAGTTCGATTACAAATTTAACTTGAAAAACAAATCAGAGATGAAGGGAAAGTATGAGATGGGTTTTTGTCCTTTCTGAAAACTTCCACAAGTTTTGACATACCACCTATTGCAGTTACCACGACGACATTTAACTGTAATAAAATAAACGAGCACGCCATTGTTCGAAAATGGTAAACATTATAAAATTAGTTTCATTCAACCAAAGAATATAAATAGACCCTTAATATTCTTTGATTCAACTTTGAATCGATAGGTCTGTAGTATGATTATATGGCAAGCAAAGCCGAGTGCAGGGTCTATATCATGTATACATTAATATTTACGTCACGTTAAGTTCATTTGGACTATTAATATCAGCAGGTGACAGGAGGAATATTTGTGTTTCCGACAATAATTAATCTGTAGGAAGAACCACAGTATACGGCTTACCTTTTTAAGCAATATACTGTGGTTTTGGAAGAACTATTGTGACACCAAAGAATATAGACGCTTCGTCTATATTCTTTGGTGACACTGTGAGCGCAATAACTAATGTGACTATACTAACCTTTTTCAGATTTTTTGTCGTCTTCAAATGGTTTAAAGTTATTTCCATGTTGTTCTATTTCAGTAGTTATGGTATATTTCTTTAGGTCTAAAGAATTATAAGTATCATGAGTACTTTGCCTATTGGATTCTTCCTGAATTTCACGTTTAAACCCATCCAAAAGTGCATCATCCAAGTCATTGTTCTCTGTTTTTATTTTACACGTTTCCTCACAAATTTCTTGTTTTACTTCCATTTGATTACACTTGATTGTAGGTATTTATTCCAATAATAATTTTACGCCCAAAAAGTGAAATTACTATAAAAATTCTAGAAAGAAACACGTATCAGTGGAAACACACTCAGTTAGTTTACATTACAAGGTCATGATACTATAACAAACAACACATAACAACAACAAGGTTAGGTTAGGTCACAAGGATCTACAGACCGAGAATTTGGCATCCAAATTCCAATTGCTTCGCGCAATCGTACTTGTTCGTATAGTCGGCTGGAGTTACAAATTTGCCAAATTTAAATGTATAATCGTTTCTACTCATTCATATTAATATTATAATGTATAATATATTAAAGTTTTTAATATTGGTAATATTATTAAAGCTTTTAATACTATTTTTTAATATTAATAATAATATTAACTAATTAAATATTGCGCCTTGCTTAAAAAAAGTACGAGATAAATAACTCGTTTTTTATATCTTTACGTATGCTAAGCTGGTTTTGCCCATACTGACTTTCTAATTACCTACTAATTTGCATAACAGTCAGATATTGTACCTGGTCATAATGCTGTTTTAATATTAGGATTTTCATTTCGCTTGTTGAAACTTCATCGGATATTAATTTCTTGGAAATTTATATAAGGCTCTGAGAGTACTAAATCGGAATACTTGAGTATTGTTGAAAAAAACTGAAATTGAAGGTACTACACAATCGAAGAGCTCAAAAAAATTAAACATTTCCGGTATTCTTTTTCCAGATCGTATTTTGTTTTCGAGATATATTTAAATTTGGGAATTTTTTATTATTTTTCCACTTTTTTCATGTTCTTTTTTAATTTAATTTCAGTGTATAAAAGCCTTTACAATATTATCCAAATTTTATTTTTGGAAGTTTTAATCTTAAGTGTTCAGAAACAATTTGCTAGGAAATGAAAATTTGTTTTTTTTTCCTTAGTTCACAATTTGCTATAATATTTCTCATTTGATTTAATAAAAAATATTGTAAATTAATTTTTTTGAATAATTATTATAATAACGACTCACATCCGAGTAGCTTAACACAATTAAAGAAAATATAAGGAATAAGCTCACGACTCAGAACTGAGTCTTTTCTTCTTTTCGCATAAAATATTACAAATTTATTTAAAATACCCTTTATTTAATATACACTTTATTTATTCATCACAATTTAAAAAAAATACTAGTCAGCACAGCGGTTGATTTCCATGAAAATACGCTAAGCAGTGATAATGATTGCATGTACCTAAGTTAATATTTTTGTCTTTTGGTTGGTGTTATATTGAAAATTTCCCATCTCAAGGCAAATGACGTAAGACACGAAAAGGATAAAATTAATTCTATTTTTTTATGGAGAGTTTTTTAAAATGGTAATTATAAAATAATTTGTTATTAATACAAGTAATTTTTTTTATTATTTACTGAGCGTTTAGAATGTCCACTAAGCAATTTTATAAACTATTTGGAAAATAGTATTTCAAACAAGATTCTGTTTTTTTATTTTCTCTCAAAAAATAAAACAAAACTAGTTTAAAACATATATATTGACATATAAAAAAATAATTTATTTTTGCATTAAAACTTTTGCAGCTAGTATATTGGCTTCTTCTGAGGAGGGCTTCTGCAGTTTTGAAGTTTTCTCCTTTTTACATTTTTTTGTTGGGAAAAATTTTCTTTGGTGTATAATTTTTTTATTGGAAGGTGTTCTAGATGTGGATGGAAAGCACAAATTGGTCTGTTTTTGACTTCTCATAGCATCTATGGTGGGTTTTATCGGGATAACGATTTTTTGTATAGCCTTCAATTCTTCGAGGGAAACTAAATTATTTATTTGCTCCTTAAGTTGGAAAATTAATTTTTCCTTTGCTTCTTTTAAAAGACTTTCTTCTACTCTACTTGATTTGCTAACCGCATCAATCAAAGCCCTTTTCTCGTCATCGCATTCAATAACCAGGTTGTCATCATCATCTAAATAAAAGTAATAATATATCAGATAAGTAATTTATTTCAAAGTAATTACTATTTAAATGGAAACAAGCCACAATTAAAGGTAAAAATACGTTTCTTGACGTTTCAATTTCCACTTCGGAAATCGTTCTCAAAATACAAACATTAGTAAATGTAGTAATGTTTGTATTTTGAGAACGATTTCCGAAGTGGAAATTGAAACGTCAATAAACTTTTTTTTACTTTTAATTGTGGCTTGTTCCTATTTAAATAGTAATTATTTTAAAATTCCACAAGAAAATACCTTCAGAACAATAGTAATTTATTTTGTCTATAAATAAGTTTTACACAACCTGAAAAAAAAACAAAGTTAAATAAAAGTTATATATAGAAGTGTCTAGTATTACTGCCATCCATTATATTTATCAATATATGTCGATCTAATAACATAATAACCAAAGGAAAAGATCTAAAAGTTTTTCACATAGACCACGCCACCCAAGCTAGGAAAATTACCTATATTAAAGGGTACATACTTATTGTATTGAAAACTTCAAATAACAGCAGTACCTATACCAAATTAAAAAAAAAATAATTTTAGAAGAATGCATTTTTTAGACTTAAACAACAGTGTGTTTATGTCATTATACTTATTAAAAATTGGTGAATTTCCAAAAAATGTTTCAATAAAATTAATCTGTAATTTTAGCTGTTTAGAAACCATTGAATAACCATGTATATTATTTATAAAGATACATTATTTTCATATACTAAGGTATAAAAAACTTTACCTGCTAATAAATTTGTATTTGGAATGGTATTCTCTTTATTCAAATCCATTTGAGTGTACTTGCAAACTAAATGAATATGTTTACACATGTTCCATTTTATACATGAATCCAAGCATGTACAAGTATAACAGTGTATACAAACTTTGCAATCTTCACACACTAATTTACATGGACAATTTTCTTTTACCTTCTCAATGGTATACATTTCAGTGCTTGAAGTAGAGGGCACTAACCAACCATTATCGGATTTAACTACTTTATCCAGATCAAGAGACTGACTTGTAGCGTGCCTTTGTCTTAATTCATTAATTTTGGTAGAGACTTTACCTTTGTAAATCACAATAAGTCTCTCAAATAATTTGTCTTTAACAAATTTCATAATAGCACCTATTGCCTTATCTAATCTCTTGACCAATTTTCCATGTAAATAAATATGTTTTATTGTTCTGTGCATCCTTTCAATGTGCATATTGGTATTTAGGCCACAATGCAACCTAAAACAATATGCCCAGTGCTCAGCTTTACATGCATAATATTGCTCGAAATAAATTGCAAATTGCAGGGTATCTGAATCTTCCTTCAAATATTCCAGAAAATTCAATAATAATTTATTAAAAGCAGATGAATCTGTTTCTTGCAATAATGTCCTGAGCATATGATACACCTGAACCTAAAAAATGTACAATGAATTTAAAAATATAACATTTATATTATAGTTCTTATAATTTACTATCAAATAAAATTACTTTATTATACTAAAAGCTTCAACATTATATGTAAAAATATTTACTTACTTTTTTTTCCTTATTGAGCACTTTTTCTAAGTTTTTTCTCCATGCTTTATCAACATGCCAGGTGCAATACAATCTAAAAATATGTAAATGTATAACTTATTAAACAGTTACCTTTTTGTAATGTTACCTAAATTCAGCTGGCTGCATAACCTGCACCCACGATTTGTAATAAAAATCTGCCATATCGGACATAAATACTTTTGGTTTAATAGCCTTGTCAACTCGTTCTTTAATGCATTGAAAAAAAATATTCATACCAATGGAATCACTGCGATTTGTTATCAAAAAAGCTGATGGGTAGCCCTCTCGCAAATCATCCAGTACCAGGATGGTATGTAATTCAAACCCATAGGCATTTAAACCATGGGTCCCATCAATACAAATGCAATCCTCCCCAAATCGTAGCAATAGGTCTTTCTGTCCATCTGTCATTATAATCAAGAAAAAATCTTCATATTTTAGTTCAGGATTTTCTTTTCGTATAGTTTCTTGTGGTTTATATAAAAGTACACATTCTGAACTTTTCATTTCACCAACCCATGCATCAACACTTACTGCATCATTTTCATGGCGTACTGATGAATTGCATAAATTGAAACACTTCTCAATATTATACAGATCTTTTTTTGTTAAGAGATGCAGTCGTTCCAAATGAGAGTTAGACACAGAATCTCTTATTTCATCCAAAATAATTTGAAACGGAATTTTTGCAGCTATCTTTGCTGCAACATTTTGTTTTTGTGCTTGGTTTAGAAATAGATGGCCTAAATCTTGCTCTTGTTTGTGCCCCACATGAGTTGGACAAAAGTTGACAATATATTTTTTATTGTCTATTAATTTAACATTAATTCTTGCAGGACAATAAGCATTAATTTTATTTGAGCCTTGAGTTTTAAGTTTTCTGATATTCTGCCCCTTCTTTTTATATATACCTAAAAAAATTAAAATAAATGTCAAATAACCAGAATAATTTTTTTTAATTAAAAATTAAAAACAAAAAAATGGAACTCACCTGACCTATGACAATTATAGTTTGTTGTGGTACAGTTACCGATTTTTTTTGAACCATACATTTTTACAAATGATGAGAATGTTTCTTCTTCAACCTTGCATTTCCAAGATTCAAAATCTTCGGAAGTATCAAATACTAGGTAATTATTTTCAATGTTAATGAAATGGTCACTCCTGTAGTGTGAAATTACATTTTCTCGACTACAATTGGTATTTTCACACAACGCACACTTTAATTTTGTTAAGGCATTACTATGAGTTTTTTTATGAGAAACCAATGTTTTTAAATTATGAAAACTTTTAGAGCAGCAGGAACATACATAAGTTTGTTTGGTAACAGGTGCTATTTCGTCTAATTTATCTGAAAAAGAAAAAACATGTATGTAATTATTGTGTTTGGCTATGATTGGCTTAGTGTAATGTTATTGGTTATACGGTATACCTACCTGAATGCTGCCTTTTCACATGAAGTCTAAGATTGCCCAGATTTGCAAACTTTTTATTACATTCTAAGCAAGGTACAGTAGATTTAGTTTGTTTAACGTCCTTTGGTACTAGTATATGTACCATATCTAAAAA